CAGGCATTTAAAATGTGATTGGGTCACAGTTCAATCGTAATCATAAGGTAGTGCATGGGGTCTCTGTAAATTAGTGCGGAAGATTGTATATGACAGATTTTACAAAACCGGCTGTGCATAGTCATGCTGTACAAGCCGATTTCTGTCGAAAACTAGACGAGCAAGTTTTCTTTTAAACACACAAACTGTGTCAGCCGTCACCATCTCGCTTGGGAGCGAGTTCCACTGTCTGACAACCCGCTTGCTGACTGAAAATTTTCGTCGGTCTAAACGCGTGCGCTCATTCCCGACTTTGTATGCATGGCCGCGCAGTTGGTTTGTTCGGGTGAACTCAAAGAAGTCATCTGCTCTTAATGAGCAACCCTGGCCGCGAACAATCAGGAACGTCCAAAGTAAACTGCAGTTTATTTGTCTATAAGAGAGAGGGAATAGGCCAAGCAAATTCAGCCTCTCCTGATAAGACAAATGCTTTAGACCGTCGACCATCTTTGTCCCAGTGCGTTGCACCTGTTCGAGTAAGTTGATATCCTTCCGCATCCATGGTGAAGCTGCTGGCATTCCATACTCTAGATGAGGTCTTACAAAGACACCAAAGAGTCTTTCGAAAAGTTCGGGAGGAAATATTTTAAATGCACGTCTGATCCAGTGTAGAGTACTAGTTGCCTTCTGGGCCATCTTTCTGCAGAGTGCTGATGGCGATAGATTTGTGGTCGTCCATACACCCAGATCTCTGTGTCTTTCCGCAGTTTCTAACCTCGTCCCGTCAATATAGTACTGGTGTTTCGGAGAGGCATTGCGGCCGGTGTTCAGGTGCAAAACAACGCATCTGGACACGTTAAACTTCAAAAGCCATCTGTTCGACCAAGCACACAGTTTGTTGATGTTCGACTGCAACTTCTCTGCGTCATCATCGCATTTGACTTCACTCCATATTTTTATGTCATCCGCGAACATTAGAGCCTCGCAATTCACTTCGCTGATGCAGTCATTAACATAAATCAGGAAGAGTACTGGGCCTAAGACAGAACCCTGTGGGACACCACTTTCCACCTTTACCCATTCCGAGGTAGAATTACTAACGAGGACTCTTTGTAGTCTGGAGGACAGAAAACTCCTGATCCACTTAAACATTCTCCCTTGAATCCCTACATCCCAGATCTTTTGTAAAAGAAGCCTGTGTGGGACACTGTCAAAGGCCTTCTTGAAGTCAAAAAATATGACATCTACTGGAAAACCCTTATCGGTAGCTCGTGTCCATTTCTCGTGCGAGTATAGAACACTCGCTAAGCAGGAGCGCCCTGGACGAAAGCCGTGTTGGGCATCACACAATATTTTGTTCTGTTCCAGGTATTTCATCAAGTGTCTTTTGATAATGCGTTCCATTATTTTACACGCGATACAAGTAAGACTGACAGGATGATAATTTCCGCAGTCAAGTCTTGAGCCTCCTTTATGGATCGGAGTAATGAGTGCGCACTTCCATTCTTCCGGGAGCTCGCCGTCTTCAAATGACTTTTGAAATATTGCGGATAAGGGTTTGCACAGTTCATTTGCAAGTTCACGAAGTGCTAGGGCGGGAATTCTATCTGGGCCAGGCGATTTGGCAGGTTTCAGCCGGAGTAGCTCGGCCCTAACTATGGTAGATGAAAAGAGTGGTTCCTCGGTTAAGGAGGGTAGGGAGGAGATAGGAGGGGGAAGGGTATTGGGAGGAGAGGTTGGTTGGCGAATGGATGGATGGGCAAATATAGCACTAGGTTCTCGGGTGAAGACGGACTGAAAGAAGTCGGAAAGGAGGGACGCTTTAATCTGGTCATCAATCTCCACTTTACCATCTGCAGACCTGAGGGCAGGGATGAGCTCCTGAGTCCTTTTAGTACATCGTATATAACCATATAGAATTTTCGGATGCTCCAACGAATTTCGGCGTATGTTTAGTTCAAACTTCTTTCGCAGATTTGAGGCCTCACTTGTACAGACGTTTCGTTGCCGCTTATATTCCTGTAAGTGTTCGTCGGAGCCAGTTAGTCTGTAACGCCTCCACAGACGATTCCTTTTTCTGAAAGAGGCCTTCAAGTCCGGGTTTATCCCATATGTAAGGAACAAGGTTGGCTGTGTTCCGCTGTGAGGGCAGCCTTCCTGTCCTCATTGACAGCTTAAACAGAGTTAAAAGAGGCTTTAAAAGCTCCTTTGATAGTTTCTTAAGTATCAACCCAGGAATCCCGTCGGGTCCAGGAGACTTGTCTGGCTTAATTTGACTGAGGACGCGTCTTACTTCTTCGACAGAAAAGGCAACTGATCGAGAAAAGTGAGACAGTAATTGCCTTTTCTATGGCCCTTCAACTCAGAACTTTCCGAAGCTCTCCTTTGGCACGCAATTTCGTCCCTGTGTTTTTTCCTACAGCGGATGTACCCATCAAACTTCTTGGGACATATAATGGATTCTGCCGTCGGTTGGCGCATAAAAAAGTTCTATCAGCTCGTATTTTCTGCGACATTTATTACGTTGCGCCTTGTATTTGGCGAATGTTAAGGGGATCCTGAAGTTGCAAGTATTTTTCCACAGCCTCCATTGCTACTTCATAATTTTTTCGACATCGGAGTGACCCCCGGCGGTCACACACACACGGTCTCATTATTTTTATAGGACGGTGGGATTCAATTAAACGCTGTTTACTTCATGAAAGTACTTCCAGAAGTCTTTTGGATCTTCCATGTTGACTGACCAGCGTTACCCCAAGACAGCATGTTCCACTGCGTTAAAATCGCCTTTCCAAATAGTTATCCACCTCATAATTTGTGGTTGTGGGTTCGATAGGAAAGAGCACATACAGCTAAAAGCAATATGGTCATCTAGACCGGGAGGTGATAATGCATTCACTTCCCTCATGAGTCCTTGTCCTTTAACGAAACCGATATTTAAACATTTAGATTGATACCCTTCTCTCAGACACGTTTCGAATTTATGTGTTGAATGAAGTATTCGTTTAGGGAAAATTGTAATGGTCTGTGGACGAATGACGTGGATGGGACGTTTGCTACAGGAATTTTTTAGTCTATCTCTGGAGCATCAAAGTCGCCCAGAAGTAGTAAGTTATCCAGCTCACCTAACAACTCCAGTGCACTAATTAGTTCCATGTCAACGTTTTCATTCGAACCGGGAGGTCGATAAGTATCGGTAATTATTTGATATAAGTTTTTCATGGAATTATTTCATAATTGCGAGGTACCCATCTGGCATCCTTGTCGAAGGTCCCGTTCGGTCGAGACAATTAACTTTCGCGGCGAGTGGATCCAGACGCGCTGACCTACAGCCACTGGAGCGACTCCACTTCGCACGCACGTGAGTCCGTAGTGTCACAGTTGCCCACGCGCTACTTGAACGCACCGCTCCCCTTCAACCAGTAACGTAAGCCATTGGAACACCACTCATCGATAAATATGACAAAGGCTGATTGGGGACCACTTGTGATTAGCCCACGAATAATCTACAAAAGCGTCTGCCACCTCTGTTTCTCGGACTCTCAGGCATGACTGGAAGCGATCAACGCCGGTCCTGGCATCGCAAGCGGCTGCTGCTGCCTTAGAGGACAACTCAGGGCTCTGTAAACAATAAACTCCCTCATTTTGATGAATTCTGTCTTTTCCTACAAGTGGAGATTAAGCCTGATGATTGTTGCGCTCTGATCACACGCCACCACTTAGAAGTCACATGACAACCATCCTGAGTGTTCGTGTCATGCATTTTAGCTTCAACGTTAACTCCACCAGTTTAGATTTTTCCCGAACTCACCCAAACCGAGGGCACTAGCGGGCACTTGAGAACATAAAACGCCTTAGTACATCGTTGCCGTGAACTCTGAGAATCCTGATTCTTTCAAGATTTGCTTATTTCGTTGATTTAATCGATCCGTTTTTATGCAACCAGTTGTGAATGCAGTCTCAACTACAAATTCCCGCAAATTTCATATGAGATGTGGCCGAATTACATTGTAAGCAAACGTCCTCCAATAACTCCATCATGTTCAGGATTGGTTCAAATCTATGGTGACTCTCCTCTGCACTAATTGTACCCGAGGAGACTCTATCGACAGAACAAATAGGGATGGGTTCACAAATCATCTAAAAGATTCGGGCGCAACGATAAGCTTCACAAACTTTCAGTACAATTTGATAGCTGAATCAGGGAACACGACGACGCCCAACTCAACTTGTTGAGTTTAGAATTTCAAGTGTACTCACTCACGATCGCATAGAAACTAGGTGGCACAAAAGGAGGAGGTAGGAAATGTACACAAACCTACACCTGCCTGAGCCATCTTCCCCTTATAACTTCTGCGAACTGAGATAGAAGCAACCGAACACACCCACACACCAACCGATCTCTACCAAACTACATTTGGTGTGAAGGCTTTTCTCCCTCGTAAGTCGGTCCTTGTTGAAAATACAGTGAGCTATTTAGATAAGAAAGGAAAACGACGATCCTCAACTGATAGTGAAACTTTCGTATAAATAAGTTTGTTTTAACTACATTGTCAGTCGGGCTTTTTGACTTCTGGCCGGTATTTTGGCTCGGCTGTGTTCTTTTTCAATTTGTGCTATCACACCAGGGTTTCACGGCCGGTCAGACCACAATGGAGCAAATTGGCTCGACTAGCGCGACAGATTTTGTAGTGGCAAAGAAGTGGAAACTTATTCGTAAAATAGGAGCAGGGTCCTTTGGAGACATATACCTGGGCATTAATATTTCCAATGGTGAAGAAGTGGCTGTGAAATTAGAGCCAGCGACCGCTAGGCACCCACAACTCTTTTATGAAAATCGAGTCTACCGAGTCCTTCAGGTACGTCGTCTCCTTCCATGTCACTTCCAGAATGCTTTTGCTGTCCCCCGAATTCATTGGTTTGGTTCCGACGGGGTAAAAAACGAGTATCGCGCGATGGTTATGGACTTACTTGGCCCAAGCCTCGAAGACCTGTTCAACTATGTTGGGCGGAGGTTCACAATGAAGACGGTTTTAATGTTGGCCGAACAGATGTTGTGGCGTATTGAATACGTCCATTCAAAGACGTTTATCCATCGTGATATAAAGCCAGACAACTTCCTCATGGGCATCGGCCAGCGTTGCAATCGACTTTTCCTCGTCGACTTCGGGTTGGCCAAAAAATACAGGTTTGTTTTCCTATCATATTTTACTTCGACAGAGATAGTCGCACTCGGCTGCACATACCGTTTCGGGACGACAAGAACCTAACAGGAACTGCAAGGTATGCAAGCATTAACGCCCACGCGGGATACGAACAGTCGCGGAGAGACGATATAGAATCTCTCGGATATGTCTTCATGTACTTCCTGAAGGGACAATTGCCGTGGCAAGGCCTTCGTGTAGGTCACCACTTTTTGTTAGTTATATATTCGTTATCTTTATATGTAAAATGTTTAAAGAGGCGTAAGAATCAAATGTAGAGATTTTGTTGAACACTCAATTTTTCAACCCCCGAAGTCCAAGCTGGCTGCACTTCGCCTAAGGAACTTTTAGAGCAGTCAACTAATTATATTGGCAGCCCCTCAATAATCCATCAAAAAGTTTATTAGTTATTGATTAAGAGTTATTGACCTCTTCCACAGTGACTGCCCACATCTGTACTGAGCGGTGCCAGTTATTTCGTTCCGGGGTTCATTTTTATCGAAATGTTAGATTTCATTTCGTAACAAGTGCCCCTCATTCAATAGATCGTACTTATTATGGCACTATGACTGCCTCGGGGCTTCCACCTTGCGGGCCAATCGGGTCACGAATAATCGGGCTTGTTTTCAATCGGGCGACACGGAGCTCCCGAACAAAATCTAGCCAGTTAGTACTCAGGACCCGCTTTCATTGCCCACTCCCTGCTTTCGCTAATAAGGGGAACGCAGTTGATCGGTTGCGCTCTTGTCCGACTGTATCATCCCTCTTAATACATGTATGCTCGGTACGGCTGTGATCTAGCCCGTCTTGAATATATCGCGAGTTGTGCTTCCAAGCGTGGCTACATATGGCAGCGGAGTTGTAGAATTCGATTCAATCCTTTTCAGCAACGAGCACCGAATATCGAAGGTACGAAAAACACCGTGCTTTGACAGACTGTGTTGGGGCAGGTTTTGACTTGGCTTTCCTCGTTGCCTTCAAGTGGACAGTGGCGCTTATTAACAGGAGCGGCACCGAACACATTGGACGGACCAAGAACGTTTTCAAGTCACCTTGGGGCTTACTCTTCGGTGACCTGAGCTATCCTTGTGATGTCCAAGCGACTCCGACTCTTGATTTAAGAAAAAGTCGGTACACTAGAGGAGACAACTTCGAACAAACAATCCGAGCGGCTGTTGAGGACCCGCCTGCACCCAAAATTCCCAAGAAACCTAGTGAAATATGCCCTACCACAGTATTATGATCCATTTGACGGCGTCCGCGGGAACCGACGCGCTCCGCAACCCTGGTCCAGTGGTGCGTGCAAGTAGTATGTCAACTGGATTACTCAATCGGGAACGGACTCTCGGTATTAGATGCTGGAATGTGCGAACGTTCCTGGATCCTGGTACCCGAAGTCTGACCACATGCAGCCCCAATCAGTACAATGTTGGCAATGTGATTTGTGCAACAGCCTGAAAATGTATGCCAAGATAAAACCCCATATGACACGATGCAGTCCACTGACAGTTAAGTGGGGTCCTTCTCTGTACCGTTGCCAACGTGGATGTCTTCTCTCTATTTGAAATCTGACTTCCTGACTCAGACTGTCGGGAAATAAAGATTCCGAGAGTCGACTAACACTTCACCCTGTAGCGCAGCGGCCCACGTGACTCTCCCGTTAGACACGATGTGGCGATCGCCCTCTCGCAATAAGCGAACCGTATTTGCTAGGGAACCGGTCAATGACCGGATGGCGTATGTGCGACTGAAGAGTCAGTTCGCGAACATCTCCATCGTCTTTGTGTACGCACTAACTTCAACTGTCGAACAGCGCGATAACGAGACGCTTTACTCACAGGTGCAAGCGTTGGTTGAGAGACTCCTACGCTGTTATCTGCTGATTGTTGCCGGGAGCTGGATTGGCGGGACTGAACCTGGCGACTCTACAAATAGTCTCTTATTGAGCACTTTGGACTTGTTTCTTGATGTGGCATTGGCGAGCGATTGATGAGGCTTGGTGATCAAAACCGACTGCATGTCGCCAACACGTGCTTTCAGCATCGAAAATATTGCTGAATTAGTATTCAAACGACATCACTTCGACCTCTGCGGCCGTCAATTTCGGTGAATTTGTCTCCCCGTTTATTACAGCTAATCTCAACATGCCATTGAGTCGCCGTTACTCGACCGCGTCTGTGGCTCGCTCAGTACTTGCATCATATTTGTCACTTTCGGGAACGTTTTCTTTTTTTTTTGTCAGTCAACCTTGAGTTTCCCAGTCCATCACTTTCGACGTAGGGGAGTACTTCACGTGGCATGTGAACTATGAAGAGTGATCTCACCTGTTGTCGGACAAGGTTCCTCGTCTCGCCTGATCAAAATGCTGCTTGTTGCTGCGCGTGGAGATGTGCTACCTGCGGCGTCACAGAAGCCGGCGAGGTCGGAAATGGTTACAGCTACAGGACGCAGGAGTACACCGCAATAGCGATGACTTTGTCAACGACACTGCGAAGATACCAGTTCAGCCCTCATTTAAACCTGTTCTCAGGACACAAGCAAAGCTGTGGCTTGATTGTTCCGCATGGTTGCGACCCCACGTTGACCAGAGTTGTCGATAACACCCTTGTGGTATAAGTAGAAAAATTTGACTGGACCCTGATGCTACGCGACTCGTGATTTGGCAGGGCTGTCTTAGGCGCGTAATGTTCACATTGTGCATTATCAACGCTTTTACGGTATGGCCCTGCGTTGCCGGCACAGAAGAGCCCACTTCCCAGCATGCGATGCGCACTTTTTTCTTCCAAAGGACCTGGCTTGCCTACTCACCATTCCACTCCCTGGCGGAGGTTCGGACGTGTCCGTTTCTGCAGACGAGATAACTGATAAGGGGACTTGCATGAAATAGTGTTTAAGGGCTTTGGTGGGATTTTGGCCCTCCCATCCTTGACTTGATCCGTAGGTGAAGATCCAGCCCTGAAGGCATTAGTTGCAGGAAGAGCGCAGTTAATAGTGGTTGATGCTGTCACAGTGTCGTGATCTAACTGTGATGCATTTGATAAGGAAGTCGGCTTGCATGTCCTCAATCTTCCTTGTCCTTTTGACACCCACTGCGACCTCTGATCTGCTAGACGTAAGTCGGCTTATCTTGCAGCCAACCTTCGGTACAGGCTGCTCCACTATTTGACCTCGTGGGCTTGTCGGGGTTGCCAGATACTAGTTTAACGGATGCCACTGTCTTCCTGGAGTTTCTGTATTCCTTCAAAGTCTGACAACGCCATCGTAGCACGGCTGCCATGAACCACCATTACGTAGGTTCTCGTGCTACAATTGACATGCGTCAAGGTTTCTATGAGCGCAGCTCGCAGAAGGGACAACCTCTGAATAGCGATGCGAGAGGCTGTTGAGGACAGGTCTAGACTTTTCGGGAAAGTGCTACCCGGTCAAATCAGACATGACCAAAATCGAATCAGGCACGAATGCGTGGACCACGTTCCAAATCGCTATAGGATTGTCTTGATTTAAGTTTCGTGTGCCAAAGTTTAGTCGTCTGACAGATCCTACACCAGTTCTAAGTGTTTCGCCATCGGAGGAGAGCTTGATTCCTCACTTTTCCTCCCCTTTTTACAATAGGTTTGTCAAAGCTGATAGAAACGCTGAAAGCTGCGGTATTTTCAAATACAGTTGGGTCTGCCATTATCAGCATGTTGGATTATTTCATCGGAGGTTCCACCTAGGCAGGTACGGTGGTACTTCATCTGACCCAAAACCCCTGACACATTTCTTTACCGGCTAGTTTTCCTCTGAGTGCGCTTGCTTCCGTATGACAAAAGGGTTTGAGCTACCAAGACCGAAGCCTGTTTTAGTAACAGTATCCATGATACGGCCAGCATAGTATCCACAATCGGACTGCGCCGTCTCGCAACGGTTATTTTTGGTCGTAGCCCAGTCCCCACGAACGCATGTTCAGAGACTTCCGCGTTGCCGGTGTAGCCACCACAGGTTGCGCAGATGCCCCGCACCAAACCAGGTCAGCGGACTCGGACAAGTATGCGGCCGACTTTTTTGAGTGGGATCGTCTACTGATTAATGAACGTCCAGATGCCGGTGGAGGTTTCCTAAGCAAGTATTTTTAACGACCGTTCGGTTCGCCACTGTGGACTTGAGAGACCGTTTGTCACTCGCTCAGTGGTTTCCTACTGCGTGATGGTAAAGCACTCGCAGGTTACGTCCGCGTCGTACCACATTAACGTTCGCACTGTAAGTCTCTGGCGGACTTGGTAATCTTTTAAGCATTAAATGTTTGATTTGCGTTTCCGTCTTACTACTTAAACGCCTATTTAACATATTTACCACCTGACCTGCTGAGAAGTACGCTGGGCGTGGGTTTCTGAGGGCGTCGTAGTATGAGTCAACAGCGGTGATTAAGGTTTTGGGGCATAATCTGCGACAACCGTGACGTTAACTTTGCCACCACGTAGGCATACAAATGCCATTCATTACATCAGGGATTCTCAGCGCATGCGTGCAGTTTTTACTGAACACTACTTTCCACCATCAATGGGGTGAGCGGTCAGCATAGATGTCGTTAAGTCCCACTGCTTAGTAGTACCGCTTTTCTGTCTATTCTGACTGGTTTCGATTTCGCGCGTGACTCACATTCACTCGCGGTGGTCTTTGCAGCTTATCTGGTGCATTCCGCAAATCTCATGCTGTGATGGTATAGACTGAATGTAGAAGTCCAATAATGGTCTCAGCGCCCTCAGGTACCTTGTTGAACGTGAGTTCTTGTTGATGGTCCCTTCGCTTTCATTGGATTGCCGCCAAGCTTCTCTCACTCAGCGTGAGTTGTCATAGGACCGCATAATGACTCATTACTACCTGATCCCCAGTTCAGAGTTCCAGTTGGCATCCTCATAAGTCACGACTTTCCACCCTTCGTGTTACCTCAAGGACTCGTTAGATTTATTTTCAAGGAAAAACCGGGCAGTAGTACCGACCTTCCCTCACCCCTTCCAAACCAGGGGCAGGACTGTGTTAAGCAGAATAAAGATAAGATCAGGTACGGTCGCTGACGGACCACTCTGCCCAGCTTTGGAACCTAACTAAAGAGTCGTTGGAAAATCAAATCACCAGACGTTCTTTGTGTTGTCAGATAGTCCCATCAAACACAACTGATTTTAATAAGCCTTCAACAAATCATCACCGTTATCACATCCGCCAGAGCTAGTCACTGCAAAGCATGAACTGGAATTCGACGCTCCAAAGTGACTGTTCTGCGCCTCTTCACTGTTTTAGCAATGATTGACTATTTATGCGGGCTCTAATTTATGAAGTTAGAAACTGGCGGATAATTGAGTCCCAGACCGTTACGGTTAAGAGAACAAGTATTAGTTTTATGTCCTATGTACCTTTGTAAGCATTAAAGTTACTCAAGTTCTCTTGGCGAGCTTCGAGGTCAGGAATCACTTCGATTCAATTTAAACAATTTGTTCTTTTCAGGCCGCCACAAAGAAGCAGAAGTATGAGAGGATTTACGAGAAAAAACTGGCTACAACACCTGAGGCTCTTTGTCGCGGTTACGCTATTGAATTTGAGAAATACCTCCAATACGCCCGCGACATGGCCTTCGAAGCACCACCCGACTACCTCTACCTTCGCCGATTGTTCCGCAAACTCTTCAAGAGCTTCGATTTTGCCTGGGATAGTGTTTACGACTGGACCCTTATGAAACAAAAACCCGCCTCCAACAGTCAGCAGCTACCTCCAGGGGCTGCATGCCATCCCGGCAACGGTCTCGACACGACGGCGCGGGGGACCACCGGTGGCCACCATGGTCATCCGACCTTGCCAAATCAGCACATGTCGTACATGCTCCAGCAACAGCAGTCTGGTGACCAGACCCAACATGTGGACATGCACCAGCGCCTGCAGCATCACTCGGCTCAGGCGGTCCAGCAACAGCAGCAGCAAGCCTCAGATTTCCGTCCCCGATTTGTTGACGGCAATGCAAACGCCAACAATAGTAATACTGCAGTTCAAGGCTCAGGCGGGCAACTAGGCGGTGCCCACTATAACACGAATATCAGTGTGGATTACCCGCAAGGTGGCGGCGGTGGTGGTGGTGGTTACGTGGCTGGTACTGGCGCAGGAGGCAATGGTAAAGATCCCAACGGTCGGTTTTAATTTATAAACCCTGGTGTATTTGGGACCGCGCCTCACCGCCGCATTTGTTTGTGTGCATGTGAATCTCCACAGCATTCTGGTTCATTGCATTTAGGCCGTACGCGTTCCGTACCTCAGCCGCTGATATCGCTGTCGCCAACATGGCGTCGTTACGTCCACACGTACGCTTGCCACAAACACTCATCTGCTCCCCCGAGGCCGGCTTCGCGCGTACGCGTGTGCAGCATTTCAGACGTGCATGTGTTTACTTGTAAAAAGAAGGTTTTACTTGTTTCATCACGCCGTGCTCCTTTGACTCCCGACAATCCCGGTCACATCACCTTCCACTTGCCACTCCCCAAAGCCGGAATCGGTTTACTCCGGCGCTAGTACACGTATATATACATACATGCACAAAGTATTTTGATTTCTATCCCCTAACCAGCCAGTGTCGGGAGTGTACCACTTTTCCGTTCCGCATATGGACGTGTAAATCGGCCGTTGTATGCCTACTGACTCTTCTCTTTTGTTAAGCTGATTACTACGCATAAAATCTTCTGTAACCCTCACGCGTTTGAATCTGTCGTGTCTACGGGGAGAAGCCCTCTGATGAACTAAGCCCTAAGTCTTACCCCCATCCACCACGCTCCCTCACAATCAGATTTTTACCGCTGGTTATGATCTGTGATATGATTATCAGTTCAGTTTCTGCAGTTGCGCATATCCCCTTCCTTGGACCGCATCCTAAGGTACCTTTCTCTATGTACAGGTGTCCTCTGTAATTCGTATTTTAACGAATTGAATTGCAGATATTGTGAATTTATTCACTCCCACACGCACACCACCCATCGACGCAAATCTAATTATTCTTGTTTAAGCTTTCGCCGCTGCGCGCTCGTTGCTTTTGGTGGTTCGGAAGAACCGGCGCACCTTTACCGGAGGTGCTTTGCAGCGTCTGGACGTCTGTGCTCACTTGTTGGCGGCCTTAGGAGTTTGGTCATTTACTTAAATAGCGCTTCTGCAGCTGACCCATTTCTGCACTGATATGTGAGAAATGTCACCGGTGCGGCCAATTTTGCAGTTCCCGAAATTTCTGTCTCTCTGGTCAGTGTTATAGATGAATTATGGAGAGTATTTTTTTTATATCGAGGAGTTTAACTTTCCAAGCATGGTCAGTCGTACATTTAGAGTAGAATGCAGGGCGACTGTTTGAGTTCTGAAAGAAGGGTAGCAACTTTATGTTTCCACCTGAGTCTTGGCAACTCGGGCCCAGGTTTTTGTCTTGGCACTCGTGTGTCGCCAGTCTCGCGTATGATTATCCGAAAAGCCTTCATGCGTCCGCTGCGGTGATAGGTCTAGGTCTTGATTTCGGACTGATCTGTAAGTTCTCACGCGCTAATTTTTCAATGAAGAGTTCACTAGTTACCTCCGAGAATGTCGCCCTAGGACACTACGTACTGTGCACTGTGTTCCGCTCTACTTGTGTGATGTTTATCGGGTATTGCCATTATATGAAATTTGGCATTCTTAAAACAAGTTACCGGACATTTGCGTCCTTGCCGTCGTTTTTTAGTAACTTACACCTTAAAAAATTGCCAGTTATTTGTTTCGAAATGGTCTGTATTTTGGAGGGATATACTTAAATATACACATAGTTTTGACCCTCGGACTTTTACATGTTCGGCCTAGCCGACATTCATTACGTCCCGGGCGGTGTTTAAAGAACAACGACCTTACGAGCATGACTAGCCCTTTCTCCAGTGGTCGGAAGCAACCTCGGTGTCTTGACGGGCCTTGGCGAGCTCGGTTTTCGGCCGACTTCTATAACGTCCCCCATTAGGCGGCGTCAAATCTAGGACAGCAACACTGAACTCTTGGGAAGGACGTCGAAGAATGCGTCCAAAGCATCCCAGCCATCCGTCTTTAATGATCTGGAGTATCCGCCCAATGTCGCATCGACCACGAAGCGGGAAAAAGTGAGTGCGCTACATTAGATGAATTGCTCTCAAGTAGAGGTAGTGGATGACCTACAGCTCTCGCTCGTCTTCTACGCGTCAAAGCTTAAATGAACAACTGTACTAATGCCTGGTGTATGGGGATCGTGGTGACAACTGAAATGCCTCGACGGGTCCACAGGCATCTCCGAGGGCCTCCAAAGACCCTGAGATTAACAACGGTTGGGACGATAAAGTCTTCCTTGCTCTGTTCGTTTGACAGCAACTTTTCTCCGAGACATCTGAATATACTTACTTGTCCAAGTTGACAACCATTACTCACGAGAAGTGTCCTGTTCTGATCAAAGATGCAGATCGAGAATACTGGTTTTTGCAGCGTTTACAGATAAAGGTAACGATTGAGCAACCTCATTCACCCGCAACACCACACTACGTAGGTCAGAATGGTTTGACTAGCAGAATGATACTACCACAGTGGTCGAGGTCTTTTGGCTGGTGTCTCGATGTCAAAGTTGGTGCTGTCAAAACCGCGTGGGTCCCTGCTGATGATCCGGTCGGTCATGTAATCAAACAGTGTAGTTGGTATTTTTATAGTCTACCAGATTCAAGATTTACTGTCCACCTATTGAGCGAGATTAGTGTTGGCGGGAAC